CAACCTGCTCGTGGCGGAATGAATCCCATCTCCCTGTCTTTGAAGTCAAAAAATCAATTCGACAAAACCAAGATAAAACGCAATCAACCTACTCGTGACGGAATGAATCTCATCTCCCTGCTTTTGAAGTCGAAAAATCAATTCGACAAAACCAAGATAAAACGCAATCAACCTGCTCGTGACGGAATGAATCTCATCTCCCTGCCTTTGAAGTCGAAAAATCAATTCGACAAAACCAAGATAAAAAGCAAGCAATTTGCTCGTGACGTAATGAATCCCATCTCCCTACCTTTGAAGTCGAAAAATCAATTCGACAAAACCAAGATAAAACGCAATCAACCTGCTCGTGACGGAATGAATCCTATCTCCCTGCCTTTAACGTCGAAAAATCAATTCAATGAAACCATGATAAAACGCAATCAACCTGCTACTAGGATCAAAATCACAAATACAGCATAACCAAACCAAATAAAACTATCCATCTGCTCAAATTATCCATAATAAACTCCCCCACTGGATCGAAATCACAAATACGGCAAAACCAAATCAAATAAACCATTAACATGCTCAAGCTTTCAATAATGAACTTGGTCGACTTGGTACTGAGGTCAGAAGCATAGATACCGCAAAACCAAATCAAATAAATCTATTAACCTGCTCGAGCTATCCGTAGCGAGTTTGATCGACCTGCTACTGAGGTCAGAAGCACAAATAGCACAAAACTAAATCAAATAAATCCATTAACCTGCTCGAGCTATCCGTAACGAGTTTGATCGACCTGCCACTGAGGTCAGAAGCACAAATAGCACAAACCAAATAAATTTGTTAACCAACACTAGGATCGACCACCCAGCCCGAAGGCCTTAGTCATGGTGGATTTTGTCCTCCCTCAACCTGCCACTAGGTTAGGAAAAAATGTACAATGATAACAAACCAAATAAAACCAAGAAGAAATCATCGACCTGCCTCTGAGGTCTGCTCGATCTATCCATGTCTTCACGACCCAACACTAGGATCGACCACCCAGCCCGGAGGCCTTAGTCATGGTGGGTTTTGTCTTCCCTCAACCTGCCACTAGGTTAGGAACAAATGTACAATGATAACAAACCAAATATAACCAAGAAGAAATCATCGACCTGCCTCCGAGGTCTGCTCAAGCTATCCATGTCTTCACGACCCAACACTAGGATTGACCACCCAGCCCGGAGGCCTTAGTCATGGTGGATTTTGTCTTCGTACTGCCCGAATCATCCATAATGAACTACCTCACCCTGCCATTGGGGTTAGGAACAAATATAAAATAATACCTGACCAAATAGAACCGAATAGAAATCCTCGACCTGCCTCCGAGGTCTGCTAGAACTATCCGTGTCTTCAGGACCCAACACTAGGATCAACCACCCAGCCCGGAGGCCTTAGTCATGGTGGATTTTGTCTTCTCTCAACCAGCCACTGGGTTAGGAACAAATATACAATAATACCAGATGAAATAGAACCGAATAAAAATCCTCGACCTGCCTTCGAGGTCTGCTCGAACTATCCGTGTCTTCACGACCCAACACTAGGATCGACCACCCAGCCTGGAGGCCTTAGTCATGGTGGATTTTGTCTTCTCTCAACCTGCCACTAGGTTAGGAACAAATATACAATAATACCATATAAAATAGAACCGAATAGAAATCCTCGACCTGCCTCCGAGGTCTGCTCGAACTATCTATGTCTTCACGACCCAACACTAGGATCGACCACCCAGCCCAGAGGCCTTAGTCATGGTGGATTTGGTTTTCTCTCAACATGCCACTGGGTTAGGAACAAATATACAATAATACCAGATGAAATAGAACCGAATAGGAACCCTCGACCTGCCTCCGAGGTCTGCTCGAACTATCCGTGTCTTCACGACCCAACACTAGGATCGACCACCCAGCCCGGAGGCCTTAGTCATGGTGGATATTTTATTCTCTCAACCTGCCACTGGGTTAGGAACAAATATACAATAATACCAGATGAAATTGAACCGAATAGAAATCCTCGACCTGTCTCCGAGGTCTGCTCAAACTATTTGTGTCTTCACGACCCAACACTAGAATCAACCACCCAGCCCGGAGGCAGGGGCGAATTTAGATGTATGAGTAGGGGGGCAATTGCCCCCCCTCAAATTTTAATTTTTTTTACTATTAATATTAAAAAATTAATTTGTCTCCCCCTTTAAATTTAATTTTGCACCCCCAAATTTTTTGTTCTTAAACTTCACTCACAAGAACAAGTAAAATTTATTTTTGCACCCCCAAGTTTTTTGTTTTTAAACGTCACTCACAAGGACAACTTGTCCACAATTATTATCAATTAACAATTCAACACTTTTTTTATTCTACTATTAATTTTGTATATCAATTATTATCATTCTGCAATTTTAATTGGCTCATATAAAAGACTTCAACTCTCTTTTATCGTTAGGGCTGGTATTTTTATTCTGAAAACTGACCAAACCGATGAGAAAATAAACCGAACCGACTTATGTGTAATACGGTAACCGAAAACAGGTTACCGAAATGTTATCAGTTCGGTATCGGTTCTAAACACATTAGGGTTCGATTTTGAACCTATTATGTTATGTCTTTTGCCCCCTCTCAACAAATTTTCTGGCTTCGCCCCTGTGCTTCGTAATAGGTTTGGACAAATAATATTGACATATTAATAATTAATTACATAGGTTCGGACATTCCATAAATATTATTTGTCTAACTTAGAAATTTTAATATCAATTGTACTAATATAACCCTTTAATTATTTTCAATTTTACATAGTGAGACACTAAGTGACTCATATATCCTTAACTTTGATTTGTTTCATTCAATTAGCTATTGAATTGTAAATGTATTTTAAAAGTTGATAACTTTTGTATTTCTTATCGGTTTTACGTATATTATATATCAAATTAATCATCTTTTGATGATCTTCGATTTGACATCCATATTGTATATATGAAATAAATAAATTATATTTATCTTTATAAAATAAAAAATAATAATATTTATTAAAATTCATTAGAAAAATAAAATTATTTATCAATTGATATATTAATTTTTAATGTAGTTATATGTTGTAAGTTAAAAACTATTATAAAATATAACACATGTAAGTCGCACAAATAAAAAGTGTTATACTAAATATAATATATATATATATATATATTTGTAAAATGTATTTAAATTTTCAACTACTTTTTCTCATTAATTTAGATTTTAAGAAAAAATTAACAAACACCCGTGTAATACTCGGGTGTTATACTAGTACATATTAGTTATTTAATTTTGGTCCATTGTCAATGTCAATTGAGTATAAATTTGATAAAAAAAAAAAAAAGAGTGAAAAAATATATGTATTATTGATCGTCATCATCAGAGCATTGGTAATCAAAATATAGCGAGAATTTGGGGTTTAGTTACTGAGAAGTTATTTCATAAAAACATAAATTCTTGTTAGGTGGTGAAATGATTGGTTAGACAGATTCTAAGGTCCCGTTACATAATTATTTTGTTAGGGATTGTAACCGTTAGATCATAATGTAACCGTAAAGGATAGTTGATCTAACGTTTACAAATCCCGACGGAATGGTTCTGTAACAAAACTGTAGCATTTCCCAGATCCATCATATGATTTACATAAAAATAAGTATTTATATCGTAAAATATCAAAATCTTTGTGTAAAAAAAAAAAAATGTTGGTTGTTAAGACACTTTCTTTGCATCATTGTCTCTCATTTTGAAGTTAAAAAGGATCTATCTCACCCAAGAGCGCTTGGATGTGATGGCTTGGATCTCTTCCAACTTAACCAGTGGTCTCGAGTTCGAGCCCTGGGAATGCAGCAGTGGTAAAACTCTTGAGGGAGAGCTTTGCCGCGCTTGTGGTCCTACCCGGCTCGATTCCGGATTAGTCGGTTCCCCTGTTGATCCGAAAACCGGAAGGTCCCTGTACCAAAAAAAAAAAAGGATCTATCTCATATTAGTTAAGTAAAAACCCCCTTCTTAAAGTAAAATTAAAGAACGTTGGCCCTTGAAACTACTTGGCTTAAAAAAAACTGTACATTTAACTTTGAATTAGAAATTCATCATGCTCTATTTTTCTTTTCCCTTGTTTTGGTGCCTGATGAGTGTGTAGGCGTGGGTCAATTTTTTGACAAGCTTCATCTTTAAGGCCAATAATGCAGTTTCACATTTTGAACACATTAACCGAGTTGTTTAACAGGATGATCTTGTCTCATTTTTGTCTCCTAAGAGCGTCATTAAGTACTATGATTAACAATAATAGCTTGCAAAATAAAGGCACATACATATATATATATATATGTCTAAAAATAGATGTTTTTCAGAAATTTCATGCTCCATAAATGATGGGTTTCTTAAGATTATTATTTATTCATCATGCAATGATTTTAGAATCCAACAAACTGGTGGGCTTAGAGTCCAATTGTTGGACTAATCAATATGGGCTTGGACCTATACAATATCAAGAAAAGCTAATATTCAACTAACAGACCGAATTCAGGCCCATTCTGATTCTGTGGTCAGTGTTAAATCAATCTCTCCCGCTACTCTCTCTTCTTCACCTGCAGTAACTATTACACTTATTCACAAGGAGATTTGCAGCAAGACTGCACTAAAGTTCTGCTGGACTGCCTTTAGTAGATGAATACTAGAATCAGATGACGATATAACACTACCAGCAAACACAAAACACTGATCTGTATAGGCTGATGCACCAATATCAAGTGCAAAGGTTGGTATAGATATCATGATATGAACCGTCAAAAGCACGAAAAGGTAAAATATATTTACAGGTCAATTTGCAGCAGATAATCTAGTTACATATTAGTACTTGTTTCGAAAATAACTAGTACACTGCTTAAGAACTGGCTGTCAAGTTAATCGCCTCCCTATGACTATATATAACACAAAGCAAAAGTACAACAATTTTCATAATTAGTACCCGAACTGCCCCTAATGTGTGCCTTTGGAGAGAGGCCGTCTGGAGACAAAAACTTGAGACTTGATCACTGTCTTCCCCAGCTTAAAACCAGGCATGACCATGAACTCAACTTTGCATCTTTCTTGGCCCATATTCATCCCAGCCTTGTATTCTTTAAGCTCCTCAACAACCTCCATAAAAATATCCGAGAAGTCACTTCCTTGCTTCACCCCAAAGATTTCAGCTTTAGGCTCAATAAAAGCAGCAAACCCGTTTAAATACCATACCCACCTCGCCATCCTCACAAATGCGTGATAAAATTGCGTGTTTGGATGGATCCCTTTTGCCATTAAATTTCTGTGGTCCAAATTTCCGAAAAAGCACTCCTCCATCTTGGGATGCACCACCAACATATATTTTGTTCGGCAAAAATCGGCAAAACTAGAGCGCGGGTCATCCATTAAAGCAATAATAGGATTATCAAAATTCATCACGTTCTTTGAGAAACAGGGCTGTTCGGAAAACCCATAAAACATTCTCCAGGCAACATAAGCTTCAAAGGCGTATTTTTTGTGTGACCTCTTTGAGTATACAACCGATTCTTGCACCGCATTAGCAGCTCGATCAAGGTCCCATCCCGAAAGTTTCATCAAGGCTATTAACGGCTTAGCAAAATCGTGTATAGCTTTTCCGGCTTCTTTTACCACATTCTCGAATGACGAGCAATGCAGACCCATAAAACTCTCCCTCTCACACTCCCTAATCTCCTCAGCCAATTTTTTGTTCCTCATATCCAATTCATGAAGCTTTCCCCTCAGACTAGCCACCTCCCTGCACTTACTTTTGACTCGTGACTTCAACTTCTCGAGAACCCTCTCTTGGACTTGAATTTCAGCAAGCAAATGCGATGAACTTGATGAAACACAATTAACCTCCTTTGATAGCCTCTCCTTATAAGCCCTTTTTATCGTGCAGATTGTCTCAAGCAGAGATACGACCTCCTCATCGGAAGCTCTTATTTTCATGGGATCGTACGGAATGTGAGCTTCTTGGAGCTTAACATAAGCTAATTTTAGAGCCGAAAGGGAGTCGAACAATTTCGATATCTCCAGATGGGCACACGCATTTGGATAAGTCTTTGCACCACAGGATGCAACATCCCCAGTGGCCATTTCTTGCTTCATGAAAGGTGCTTTGTCACAGGACATTATCGGGAAAGTTTGAGCACCGCCCGGGTTTTCGTATATACCAAAGACGCCAATCGACCTAAACTTACCCACTTTAGAAACATTTGAAGGGGGTTTAACGGGTTTAGCACTAGCTGCAAACAACATCCCCTGCTTATCTGACTTCAAACCCATTTTTGCAGAAAACTTGATCAAATCAAAGAACTTTTTACAACACAAAC